GCAGGATTTTAATGTTGGAGTTGGTTGAGGAAGTTTGTTGAGGTGGAAAAAAGTTAAGTAAAGTAAAAAGTACTATATTTCCCTCTGAAAATGCAGTTGAGAAGAAGTAGAATAGAGAAAGGGCATGAAAAAAATTACTCAAGTAAAGTACCTCAAATTTGTACGTAAGTAGGCTTCAGTACTTCAATAAATGTACTTCTGTTCACCACAGGTTTTTTGTTTGTTCATTTTGCCTAAGTAATTAGTTGTTGTTTTTGCAGATTCTTGGCCACTGGAGACTCCTACCGCACCATAGCTTTCAGCTATCGTGTGGGAGTGAGCACCGTGGCAGGGATTGTTGGAGAGGTCGCCAGGACAATATGGGATGCCTTGGTGCAGGAGGTCATGCCAGTCCCCACCACTGAGGACTGGCAAAGCATCGCCACTGACTTCCTCCATCGGTGGAACTTCCCCAACTGCCTTGGGTCCATCGATGGAAAACATGTTGTGATTAGGGCCCCTGACAACTCTGGGTCCCTGTTCTTCAACTACAAGGGGACTAACTCGGTTGTGCTCCTGGCAATGGTAGATGCCCAGTACTGCTTCCGGGTAGTGGATGTGGGCAGCTACGGGAGGACAAGCGATGGCGGTGCGCTGGCTAACTCCACCTTCGGCCAGGCACTCCGAGACGGGACCCTTGGCTTGCCACAGGATGCTCTGCTGCCAGGTGCAGAGCATTTGGGACCACAGCCACATGTGTTTGTGGCTGATGAGGCCTTTCCACTCCGCCGAGACCTAATGCGGCCTTTCCCAGGACACAATCTCTCTGGCAGGCACAGGGTTTTCAACTACAGGCTGTCACGGGCAAGGCTGATTGTTGAGAATACCTTTGGTATCCTCACAGCTCAGTGGCGTATGTACAGAGGAGTCATTGAGATCAGCCCTGCCAACGTGGATGCCTGTGTGAAGGCTACCGGTGTCCTGCACAACTTCTTGAGGAGGTCCACAAACAGCACCAGGATGCCCCTACCATCGGCTGGAGACGGAGAAGCTGCTGGCCTACAGGAGGTCACCCGAGTGGGCAGCAACAACCCCACACGGGAGTCCATCCGTGTCCGAGAGAAATTTATGACCTATTTCTCCACAGAGGGAGCTGTCCCCTGGCAACCTGTGGCATAAGCCATTAATTTTAACGGCTCTTTTAAGAGCCACCATCCGGGATTGTGTAAGTATAATCAGGAAAATTAATTTAAAGGATTAAAAGTGAACTGGGCCTATTATACTATTATATATTATATCATTTGATTGCTGTTACTAATTCATAAATGTAAAATGCAGGATTTTACTGTTGGAGTTGGTTAAGGAAGTTTGTTGAGGTGGAAAAAAGTAAGTAAAGTAAAAAGTACTATATTTCCCTCTGAAAATGCAGTTGAGAAGAAGTAGAATAGAGAAAGGGCATGAAAAAAATTACTCAAGTAAAGTACCTCAAATTTGTACGTAAGTAGGCTTCAGTACTTCAATAAATGTACTTCTGTTCACCACAGGTTTTTTGTTTGTTCATTTTGCCTAAGTAATTAGTTGTTGTTTTTGCAGATTCTTGGCCACTGGAGACTCCTACCGCACCATAGTTCAGCTATCGTGTGGGAGTGGGAGGGATTGTTGGAGAGGTCGCCAGGACAATATGGGATGCCTTGGTGCAGGAGGTCATGCCAGTCCCCACCACTGAGGACTGGCAAAGCATCGCCACTGACTTCCTCCATCGGTGGAACTTCCCCAACTGCCTTGGGTCCATCGATGGAAAACATGTTGTGATTAGGGCCCCTGACAACTCTGGGTCCCTGTTCTTCAACTACAAGGGGACTAACTCGGTTGTGCTCCTGGCAATGGTAGATGCCCAGTACTGCTTCCGGGTAGTGGATGTGGGCAGCTACGGGAGGACAAGCGATGGCGGTGCGCTGGCTAACTCCACCTTCGGCCAGGCACTCCGAGACGGGACCCTTGGCTTGCCACAGGATGCTCTGCTGCCAGGTGCAGAGCATTTGGGACCCCAGCCACATGTGTTTGTGGCTGATGAAGCCTTTCCGCTCCGCTGAGACCTCATGCGGCCTTTCCCAGGACACAATCTCTCCGGCAGGCAAAGAATTTTCAATTACAGGCTGTCACGGGCAAGGCTGATTGTTGAGAATAACTTTGGTATTCTCACAGCTCAGTGGCGTATGTACAGAGGGAGATCAGAGATCAGCCCTGCCAACATAGATGCCTGTGTGAAGGCTACCTGTGTCCTGCACAACTTCCGTTCACAAACCTCAAACATAACAGGTCACCCGTGTGGGCAGTATCACTCTCCCCTGGTGAAAAAAAAGTACACTTCCATAATGTGCTTAAAGTGTATTTTCTTTAAAATTTCTCTATTTTCACGCACTAATTTTGTACTTAATATACTACAAATTAATCTTAAGAACATTTAAGTGTACTCTGTGCTATTTGTGAGACACCATGAATATGAACTAAAATGTGCTAAAAATGTATTTATAAAATGTATTTAGGTACCACTTGAAACTCTTTCATACAAAGTGGTAACTAAATATATTTTTTAATAGAGATAGTACGTTAAAAGCACATTTTAGATCATATTCATGCTGTCTCATAATAGCACAGCTGAGTACACTTAGATGTTCTTAAGATTATCTTAAGAACTACTAAAGAATAATTTTTAGTATATTAAGTACAAAATCAGTGTGTGAAAATAGAGCACTTTAAGTACATTATGGAAGTATGTTTTTTTTTCACCTGGGTCCCCTACACGTTTTCAATATGATATGGTAAAATATGATCAATTTGTAATATAAAACACATATAACCAGAAATGTTGACAATATTTTATTGCCGGGACATTAACTTACAAAATAATAAAATATTCTTAAAAAAAAA